AATAATAATAAATGAATAAAGGAAAATATTATATATATATATATATATATATATATATATATATATATATAATATATATATATATATATATAAACTATTAGTATACTTAATATATATACAAACTATCATCATACTTATTACTTATGTAAACTATTATCATATACTGAAAGGAAGAACGTCATTCACATTATTGTTAAAAACATACATTCACAGTTACTAAGAAAAAAACAACTTCTGATACCTCGGCACCGATAACATGATCACTTCGAGTTGCCTGATCTTTCGAATAATTACCATTCTTGACGCTTTGCAAGCTTCAGACCATAGACTTTGAGTGAAGGAAGTGAGGTCGTAAGAAGCCATATCTTATAATCATGGCAAAAAATCATTACTCCAGAAGTTCGCACGAAAGAACGGGACACTAAGCACCGTGCAAAACGACATCAATCTCGTATTCCATTAGATGTAAGACGGGAGACTCGAAAGGACCGGATGATCTCAGTTCTTCGTAAATGAAGAAGGCGCAGCACTTGCTTAGTTCCTGTGCGGTCCTCCTTATCCTTATCGGAATTACCTGAGCCAGTGGAACATGGTTATTTCCGGCAGAGGAGTTCCTTGTTGTAGGTGAGGCATCGCGTCCGGTGCGATGGCCGGGTGGCGGAAGGTGGTCGTGGCGGCGCTCCTTCAGCTGGCCTTCTCACGCGTCCTTCCTGCAGACGGCAGTAAGAGACTCATTTACCCGTGATCAAAGCGAGTGAATTCTGCGGTAAATATTTCGATCTGATAGCACAGTGCGTTCCCAAGATCAGGTCATTTTCTAGCTTGTTTCGGAAGGGAAAAGCTTCCTTTTGGAGCTCAGCAGCAGTCGAGGGGAGCTCATGATGGACTTTCGCAACAGACACAATTCTGCTGTGTTTAGGCTGTCACTCAGATCAATCCACGCCTTCCACTTCACTACAACCCCTGATACAGGTGAGGTACTCAACGTCACAAGGCTAGATCTTCTTGATTCTGCAACTGAACTGCAACTGAAAATCGATGTGTGCACGCGAAGACTCGGGGAAAATGGCGGAAGCTGGACATTCTGACCGAGATCTTCTTGTACTCTCGGAATTTCCCTCCCAACCCTGCTTCCGGCATCACGTGCTGTAGGTGTTTTTTGCTTCCCTTCACCAATATAATACCCATAAATATGCTGCATTAGCAAGTATTTAAACCTTACATGTCCTTTTACTAGATTTCAAACATTCGAAAGGATTCATTTCGTTCCCTCTGTGACTCTGGCATTAGCAGACGAGGAAGACACCATTCGAAACGACAAAACCATTGAGCCGGATGTCCCTCGGAGCGTTAAGGAGGGCACGTCACGCACCGCTCAGGCCACGGAGCATAGCGAGAGAAAACAGAAAAGGACGCTCACCTTGAGGTCGTGCAAGTGCTTCCACGTCAAATGACATTTTTTCGTTCATTATATCCTACTCTGCCATATTCTAGATTTTCTGATTGTGATCAAACCATTGCAAATATAAATGTGAACATTTCTATACATGTATGTGAGTGAGAGAATGAGCATCATCACAACTGTACTATTCCACATCCCTGTTATTGGGCCACCCTCTAACCCCAAAATTTCCCAATCTCATCCTGTCACAATTGATTGTTCTAGTTCTTGATATCCTCCCGCTTGTTATGCCACAACCTGCTTAAATTGTCCACTGGAAGAGTTCCATGTCGAAGGAGATACAGAGTTGCAAGGGCGTCAGGGAAAGGCACAATTTGTTATCTTCTTCGTCCACCTCGTCTTGTGTTCAGTGAATATAATCTACTTGTTGCCATTTCCTCGTTTTATTTTTTGGCGTTGTTGTATTTGGTTTTAACTATTTTAGCATGCTTATTTTCATCGGTTCCCTGACCCATGTTGTCTATTTCTATCCCTCAGGTATATTCCCTAACGTGTGTGTGTGTGTGCGTGTGTGTGTGTGTGTGTGTGTGTGTGTGTGTGTGTGTGTGTGTGTGTGTGCGATAGTTACTAAAATCAGTTTTTGAGAGAGTATCATGCACTGCGTGATTCATTTCCACTTCCACTGATCAAACTTTTCTCTTTTTAATTAACAAACCTCCCACAGACATTCACCCTCCTTAACTGCAGGAGCTAATCCGGTGATGGTGACGTTGGCTTACTTTGCCTACCTCATCCTCCTGACAGGACGGACACCATCATGGAGGCAAAAAGTGAGCTGGGGATTTGTCTGTGGAAGTTGGCGTGGAGATGCAAGCATAATGCAAAACGTATGTCTTTTGGCGTTTAAGGTGAAGGAAAGGTTACGCTTGTAAATGTAACTACTCTCTAATATATGCCACTTGGAAGCAGCTCTGCCGTTTATATTCATTTCAAAAAGGAAAAATAGAAATGTATTGCGCATAAGTTACGATACTGTATTGTTGAAGCTGAAATTTACCTTTAGCATAATACCTTTATTTCTATTTTCATCTCACGCTTGAAAACATTTAGATGTTACATTTTGTTGGGCCTTGCCATGTTAGAAGCTGGAATTAAACCAGTTAATTGAAGAGAATATTCTAAGCAGTTCAGTGTACATCCAAAACAGATCATTTTGGTCACTATTAAAAATGGTCCTTCCATATATTACTTCTATGTCTATTTGTTTTTGTTAATTCTCTCAGTCTAAAGTGTTTAGAACCAATTCTTCTTCTTGCTATATCAGACTGGTTAAAGTCCATTTTTCCTTGTTCAGTTCTCGGAAAAAAAAATAATGGCTATAATTTTGTAAAAATAATCCATTGTGGGGATTATGTTGTTATCAAAGTTGTTAGAAAATCTTACAATGGGTTTCTGTTTACTTTTGCTATGTGTTATAAAGTACATATTGTTTTGTTTAGTTGTGATTCAATGATTTCGCAATATCCTTATCTAGTTGATCTACAGCGTTGATTCTTATAGTACTGTAGTTGAAAATTTTGTCTTCGAAATTTTGGAAATAAAAAAGTTCATTGTAGAGTGGTTTTCTTTTTCTCTCTAAAGGCATCGCTCCAGAATGAAAACCACATAGATTATACCAACATTCATACATACACACTCACAAATGAAACTCTACAACAGCGAAGAGAAGCACAAGAAACACAAGAATGAATATACATACATATATATATAATTAATACATATATATATATATATATATATATATATATATATATATATATATATATATATATATATGTATGTACATACATTGTATATATATATATAATATATATATATAATATAATATATATATTATATATATATATATATATATATATATATATATATATATATATATATATACGTGTGTGTGTGTGTGTGTGTGTGTGTGTGTGTGTGTGTGTGTGTGTGTGTGTGTGTGTGTGTGGTGTGTATATATATATATATATATATATATATATAATATATATATATATATATATATTATATATATATATATATATATATATATTTACATATCAACATATAATGTATATACGTGTGTTCACATTCCTCCTCCTATTTATTGTTTATATATATGCAATAAATATACAATATAAATATATGCAAAAGATAAACAATATATATAAACATATATAAATATGTGTGTGTATTTATTATAATACATTATAAATGTGTGTATGTGTTTGGTGTGTTGTGTATATGTGCTATACATATATGTGTGTATGTATAATATATATTATATATATATATATATTATATGGTGGTGTATATGTATATATATATAAATATATATATATATATATATATAGTATATATAGTATATATATATATTATTATATTATATATATATATATATATATATATATATATATATATATATATATATATACATATATATATATATGCATATATACATTCCTATATACATACATACATATACATATAATATATATATCTACATGTACACGATATCCTTATCTCAATCTTTATTGCTATCATCTGAACCAGTGGAACACAGCCATTTCCAGCTCCTAAGGCACCTCATACACAGACACACACATATATACGTGTAATTATATATATATATATTATATATATATATATATATATATATATATATATATATATATATATATTGCACTTTTAAAACACATTATTTTCTTTTTGTTTCATGAGTACACCGCAGTCAAGGGCGAGTCGCCAGGTTCCCCTTTCCTTGGCCTGGGCAGTGTAGGTATTCATTCATGATTAAGTACTTTCGCCTTTAATCGCCTTCCATCACTGCTGGGCGATGTGAGATCTTCATCTGTAATTGGGAAATCATTTATAGAAGATGGGAATGAATGTAGAAGAGGTATGAATGAGAATGAATGTCTTCACAATACAAGATGTGTATTTAACCGGTTTCGAGTATATCTATCTTTATCAAAAATACATACATACATATATGTATATATGTTTGTGTGTGTGTTTATTGTGTGTATGTATATGTACTTCATTCCTCGTAAAGCTAACGTTTTTGTTTTGTTTTGTTTTTGTTTTGTTTTTCAAGTAAAACAGATTTTTAAATCAGCATTATTATTCGTGGTCAGTTTTGACTTTCACCATTATTTCACCATGTACATATAAGGTAAAATAAATGACAAAAGCTGACATTAGACTAAAGTATAGATTTCGAAGAATTTTATTATCTCTCTCTCTCTCTCTCGTGTATCTTTTTCCGAGTTTTGTCTGTCGATTTATCAAAGGATATGTAAAAATTAATACCTGCCTCAGTGTTGCCAGGTCTTTCGAATATGAAACATTTGATTTTAAGCGATCTTCCGACTTAGAGCTTCGGGTGAAGAAAGTGAGATGCGCAAGACACCATTCTCTATGCTTATTACAAACATTGCCTCATTCCTCCAAGAGTTCGTGTCAAAGTACAGGCCAGTAATTGCCATGAAAGTGACCCCTGCATTCCGTTTCGCCAGGAAGTGTGACGCATGAGCCTCTCGCCTCAAAACGCCGGATG